ATGTATTTTAAAAACGGCACGATTTAAAAATTATTTGGAAGCTTAAGAAAGAATTATTGACGTTGACTGAACATCATTCTCCAATCTTTGAAATCCTTCTTTAAGGGTTTCATTATAGCATCGAATTACTTTGAATAACTTTAACATACATATGCGAGCATGACAATACGACATATATGTATTACGTTTTAAAGATTAATGTGCAAATAATTTAAATCCAGCTCCAGTGACGAGTATGCTATGCCAGAAGTACAGTTGTCGGGCAGTTGTTTTCGTTGGTGGATTGTTCTGTGCTTTAGGATTAACAATAAGCTATTTTGCAACGAGGTTGATACACCTCTTTTTTACATTTGGAGTTCTCACGGGTTCGTAGATAATCAATTTTATGGAATTTCTCGACGGTACATTCGTTTCAATATACATGTGTACATATGTGTGTGTGTGTGTGTGTGTGTAGCTATCAAGTTCCATCATTTGGTTACGTAAGAAAATGCAGACACTACATATGCTTGAAAGAAAGAATACGATACGAATGAACGATTCGATAATAAAATTAATCCAATTATAAACGTTTAAATATTTTTACACATTTTTATAACGTTTATCATTGTAACAATTAATACAACAATTTTAGGCATTGGGAGTGGTCTGTCGACAACACCAGGTATCATCCTCGTCTCCCAATACTTTGACAAACATCGTGCACTGGCAAATGGAATATGCGTGTCCGGTACAGCAGCTGGCAGTTTCGTGTTTCCGCTTCTGATTAAGGTTCTGGTGGACAATTTTGGTTTCCACGGTACCATCCTTCTGCTTGGTGGTTGCATGCTTCATGTGTGCGTCAGCGCGACACTGTACCGGCCATTGGAGAACAACTATGCGCCGGAAGAGACAGACATGCAAGAGAAGAAAGAAAAGGTCGAGAGCACGCCAAAGGAATTAGAAACGGCGAAACAACAAAAGTTAGACTTACTGTTCGCCAATGACTCGACTACGAAGCATAATCTGTTGAACGAATTGTTCCATCAGAGCAACGTGGTGGCGGTCGAGTTGACAGACAGTGACGAGGAGAAAGACGTGATGGGTGAGGGTCTCCAGATGAAACCAATCTCGAAGATACGAAGTTCGAGTATATTGCACAGTGTTGAGGATCTATCGACTGATTCCACATGCGTGTACAAAGCCAGATCATCGTTAAGATCCTTGAGATCGTCGGTCACGGCGATGTGCCCAGTTCCTCAGAATGAGCTACAACTGCCGGAAGAGAAGAAAACAGTGATGCAAAGGATAGCGCAATACATCGATCTATCTCTATTGAAAAATCCTCAATTCATCATGATGTGCTTTTCCGTTAGTCTTATGTCCACCGGTAGTCCATATATGCTCTATTATCTTCCGGCATACGTGCACGCTGCTGGTTACACGAAATCGGAAGCTGGATACCTGGTGGCTATTTCCGCCGTGTTTGACTTGTGCGGAAGATTAGGGCTCGGTTGGCTTTCGGATTTGAAGCTTTTCGATCGGCGGAAAGGATACATCGGAAGGTATATATTAAAGAAATTTCTCTGCAAAGTGTGTAAATATCCGCTTAGTTAGTATTTTTATATCTTTGACTTTTCTATCTCATGAAGGTTGTCTCTCTTGAACAGTGTTATGGGTGCTGGTATAGCAGTACTGGTAATTCCAATGGCCCATTCTTTCTACGTACTGGCATGTTCTGTAGGCATGTACGGATTATGTTTGGGCTGTTGGTTTCTTTTGGTTCCCGTCCTTCTCGCAGACCAATACGGAACTGACAAAATATCTTCTACTTATGGTCTTGTAAGAATGTTCCAGAGCGTCGGAGCAATTTCTATCCCACCTTTAGCAGGTAGAAAATTCTTTGAATTTTAACAACATTTAAAATAAATATTAATTGAATTAACGAGCTTGAAGGTACTTGGTACTGATTCTGCATGGTAGTCGCAGAGGTATTAGTTTACTTAAATTAAAAGTAATCACTATCACGAATTGTTAACGTTTGTATGTTACCGGTTCCAGGTTATCTGCGCGATGTAACCGGAAGTTACTCCGTATGTTTTCTATGTATGGGCACATGCATGGTCATGGGAGGTCTACCTCTACTCCTGGTTTTTAACGAAGTATCGAAACCATCGAAGATAACTGTTAATAAAGAGAACAGTAATTGTCAAGGAGAGGTGATTGCAAAAGAATAAAGATATTTTGCGAATGTGATTGAATGTGTAATAGAAATCTAATAAATCACAACATTTGTCGCTACAATTATTCTACCATGATGTATTGCTTGGTTCAATGTATTCGAAACGTTTACATAAAATACCTCGTTCGCGGCAGGTAAGGGTAATTTTCGTAAGTTTTTATAAATGCACATGTCTCTTTTTGTTTTATTGATAAATGACACTCTCATTTACACATTTGCATTCAAAAGTAAAAAGTAATATAGGCCAAACATATTACATATATATATATATATATA